ACAGGAAGCCAGTTGTTACTGCAAGAACTCTCGAGATCCCCCTTTCATATGACTTCAGTAAAGCTGTGTGTGGAAAAATGGTCCAATATTGCCATCATGACCACGATGCAATTACAGAGATCTGCTCTTATTCCAAACGGCTTGCGGCAGACGCAAGTCAAAGCGTGCGGGAGGCAAAGCGTTACACGTGGCAATGTTCTCACGTGCCTCACATCAGTGATACCTACTTGTTCTTGGCTACGTGGATATGAACTACAGCTGAGTTACTGCAAGCGCTATTGCCATAGTTACAGTCGCACGACATCCTCTTCCTTCTGATACGCCAAAGCCAGTTTCTGGTCTGGTGTGACAGGTTAGTCTCTAATGATTTCAGCCTAAAGGCAGAACGCTCTTGTTTAAGAAAGGGAGCAACTCAACACAGGTTGAACCCAAAGAAGCAAACAAGGGGTGGAAAGCAAAGACTGTTAGTGAGAACATTTTCTGCTTGATCAGAGAGTCCTGCTTGCTCACTGGCTTCCTTCACCATTTAAACACCGCAAATTGTACAATATCACCTTGCTTTTGTCCTTACATTTCTAATTAAAATCAGATCCTTTACCTAAAAAGAGTCTTGAAAAAACAGATATATCCTTAGCTTGCCCCTGTTTTAAGGCCTAAAGCCATGTGTCCTGCTCCATTAAGGGCTGCTCTCTTGCTTTTCTGTGGGCAAAACGTGTGATCCCAGCTGTCCTGGCTTGCAGAAGTAGCGAGTACAAACGCAGAAGTAGCTTCTCCTCGGAGACTGCAAACTCTGGGACCAAAACGTGAGCAGCAGGGACTTCTGCTTTATTTTTCAGCAGATGGAATGTGTCTGGATATAAAGCTAGAGTTTTTAAAGTAAGAGCATAGAAGAGCTGTGTTTAGAGGACCCACGAGGGAGTTAGGATAATGGTTGGTTCTCTTTGTCCCTGCCAATATGAGAACTTCCACAATTGCTCATTAAGGCAGGAGCTGATACTCTAACAAAAAGCAGACTTCCTCTGCTTCACCCCCAGCAGAGACACGTAAGTGTTACATAAAAGCATGAGAAAAGAACACAAGAAGATATAAATACTCTTTAAATGGTGGCATAGTTTACATGCAAGGTGCTTGTTTCACCTTCTTTAGCTTTCAAAACAGACACCGCTGGGTAATGGAAAATGGCTGGGTAATTGCCTGAAATCCAGCAGAGGACAAATCTTGGGTTTGTTTGCCACACCAGGTGATGTCTGTAACTGCTCAGATTCTTGCTATATGGAACATGAATACTTGCCAGGTCACAGACACCGTGATAGAAAAACAAAACACTCCATCACATGTGCATAAACTGAAAGTAGGTTTTAATTATTAACAATTTTCAGCCAGCCCTTAGTGTTTTTAAATACTAACTGATACAGAGGTATAGATACAACGTTATGAAATTACTTTATAAACTACTGTCACCAGTGGTTGTTTTCTTAGGTGCTGAACCTTAGAGACTCTGACCTCTTCAGCAGAACCTTTGGCAAGATCTTGTTTTGATGCCTCAAGCATGGAGTGTAGTGCCTGATTTGGGGTATCCACCAGGAAAATTTTCACTGGAGCAGTTTGAATTTGCCCTGGGTCAGCTGGTACTTATGAAAATCAAGGTTCTCTGTAAGCGCATAGTATTTCTTGAGATCCTGGTCTCCTCTGTCTTGGGTAACTGAGAGATCAGCTTCAGGAGTAGCTTACACTATGCTCCTCAAGCCCAAGTGATAGAAGCAGGTGAGGGAACGAGAAAAAGCTGTGTATCCCTTATGATACATATTTTGTGTATATACAAAACGTTCACTTCATTTTTCCCAGACTAGATGTTGTGTGGGTAAAGAGGGATCACAGTAAAAAATGGAGGCTCTTGCTTCCAGTAAACAGCACTGCCCTCTCTGTCTAGACTTACAACACCACTGTCTGAAGAAAAAGAATAACCCAGCCATGGGTTTAGATTAATCTGATTTTCAAAGACTCTTCTTTACGCCATTGTAAACTGAAATTGTTAAGTAGTTCCAGAAGGTCACTGGACGTTGGATGCTGAATTTCACTCATCACTAATAACGGGAACTGGCGGAGGGTGCAAGGAGCCCTGACACCGTTACAGCCTGTGCTGGACAATATTGGCTCAGCTTTAATCAGTCTTTAGAGGAGGCAGCAGTTTATTGGCAGCACCTTTATTAATTGGTTTATAAAAACATTTTATTAATCCCAGCACAGGTCACAGTGACCAGATATTAACTGAACTGCTGTACTGTAGAAAAAGGAAGCGCAGCTGGTGATACCTGACGATAAAACAGAAGCAGATTTCTTGACTTTTCTAAAGAGCAGCTTAGCTGTTGGTTAAGGTAGGGCATTTTAAGCCTAATGAATAATAGCGCTGTTGTGCCTCTGGCCTGCTCAATGAATTCTGGACTTTGGTAGAGGGTAGTAGGCTTCAGGAGGGAAAAAAATATCAGCAAAAGCAGAAGATACATCAGTATCTTGAATACTCAAACTTGTATTTCCAGGATGTCGCTACTAAAAGGCAAATGAGCTGGGAAATACCAGTACTGAGGTTGACTTTGCAACCTTTGTTTGCCCCTGTATGCCCCAGCAGGCTTTATGACGGTATCACGAAATTGTGTTGTAGGGTCCGTAGTCCACTGCAGAGTGTGAAACAGTTCCGGCTTGTTACTGTTGAAAGTACAGCTATCCTCAGGCCATATTCTTGGTTCCTAGCTGCACCGGCATTTGGAAGCGGAATCGCACAGAGGCTTTTCTAAGACACTTGGCGTCCGAGTTGCTCATGCACAGAGTCCCCACCTGCCCGGCATAGGAGAAGGGACAGAGGGACAGCCAGGGAGGAGGCAGGCGGTGAGGTCTGAAGAGATGCACCCTCTTGGTGCGATGTGCCCTGTCAGGGTCCTGGCTGCCTCCTGCATCTCTACAGCTAGACAATGGGCTCATTTTGTATCAATTTGCATTTGGTTTAATCTGTAATCAGAAAAAAACAAACCCTAGGATTTAGTGTTTTGGATAATTTTTGAGATTATTTTCTTAAAGTTGGCACTTTTTAAGCATCCCAGCTGGTGCATCCATGCGGCATAGCCACAGAGACTGAGCAGGAAAAGGAGGACTGCCACGTTCAGCTTCTAGCCATCGCTGGCATATACACACACGTGGGGTTTGCTTTTTAATTCCCCTCTTGTCATCTGTCCTGTTGAAGCCAAGGAGTGGAAAGCATTTTTTTCTAAACCCATACTTTTTTTTCCTTCGTGTTGCAGTTACAGTTTTTTCCAGCTGAAAACCAAATCATCAGCAATTCATGGTGGACAGGCCATCACTGAAAAGACGGTTGAAAAGGTAAACAGTTTTCAGCCAATTCAATGCTGTGCTCGTCTTTTGCATTAAGCTTGTGAAAGGGTTAAGAGTTCAAGGCCTCTGAGTTGCGATCCTGCCCTGGTTTAACTAGATTTGATTAAGATAAATTCCAATCTTTTCATGGTGGAGGGGGAGTGATATCATTCCAGTCAATGTTTAGGATGCAGTGCATATTTCAACAGCTGTCTGCCAAACTTCCCTTGTGCCTGGTCTCTAGCTTTGCCTTATCAAACCTTCTAACCTGGATGCTTCCCTAACGGCTTAACTTTGGTCCCCTTACTGGTTGGAAGTGAATGCATGGAAGACCTCGTTAAAGTTATGCACGTATTTAAATTGTACAGCTACAGGGTCTGGCCCGATCGTGAAAGAGTTTCTAAAGCTTCAACTGGTCAAGTCAGCCTAGAGTCACGATACCAACGTCATTTACTCTCCAATATTAAATGCGCTCTTATGATCAGTTTTTTACACTCGTTTGATCTGACAGACCACTTCCACGAATCTGCTGCTGGACGTACCGACTAAGTGAACTAATTTAAGCAGGCACTAATGCAATGGCTATAGCAAGCCAGGTGCTTAAGCTTCCCTTCTGAAATCACGCTGATTGTTTTTGTTTTTTCCCCTCTCGTGACGCTGCCATTTATTGCACCTCCCTGGTGACGCAATGCAATTAATATTGTGGCCGAATCGATCCGCGTTTCCGCGGCCCGGCAAGGGCACGGCAGAAGACGCCCCTGGTGCCGGGGGAAGGCTGCGCCCCGGGCTGGGGCCTGGCCCTTCCC